TTTCTACAGAGCATGGTTTACGTCTGAGTTTTATAAACACATTTAACTCTGAGTCCCAGGGTTGCTTGAGCAGGATTGGTGCACATCTTTGCTAGGATGCGATACACTATGGCAACTACGGCCACGGTTGCACAGAATGAAGGAGGACTGACCGCTTTAGCCACATGATGTCGCGCAAGAGTAACATGCCGGTCGCACATCCGGACTCGATCCTGGCAGCAGCTTGCCCAAGGACTTGTTGACCTGCGACAGCGTGTGTGTTATAGGCTAGTACATCAATTACATTGTACGGATGGAAATTCATTTGCACACTCGAAGCACAGTTTTGACCTTGCTTTGCGCAGTCATCGGCACTGATCCCCACCGACTTCTAGCCATCACATGTCTCCTGCGATATGCTCGTTCGGCACATCAAGCTCGAAATCCGTACTATGATAGTCCCTGCAAGCTAGGTTGCAAGGTTGGAACGACAGTTCCCGCATGGTCGGGGGCAAACAATGTCAGGAGAATCGACTAGCTTAGGCCTAGTGAGCTCAAGGCCCTACCTTAAAATGCATATGATAGAGTACAATAGCTACATTAAGTCCAAGGCCCAAAACTGTAACCGATCATAATGTATTGTATCCCGACGAAGTGTAAACCCAACCATGATGGATCAGCCATTGCGGCTGCATCCGGCGGGCCCCTTGAGCAAACCCATGTCGAGCATTCACTCCGTTGCGGCATAAGCCTCGGAGCAGGGGTCACATCACAAGGGAGTTGGGGATCTTAAGTAGCATGCGTGTATGCTGTGTACGTGTGTACATATATTCTTAAGCCAAGCAGCTGCACGTGCGAGAGCCTTCCTCTCAGCCTCGGGTTTTCCTTCGGCCATAGCCTCCTTCAGTGCCCGTTGATAGGCACATGACTTCCTGCTCACGCGTGCTTTGTACTCGGCTTTCAAAGTGCACGGTGCTCGGTAGGATGAGTCCCGTGACTTAGCTGCTTTTGCTCCGGCTTTCGCTGTCGCTTTCGCTTTCGCCGATGTCTTCTTCACGGGCTTGGCTTTCGGGCGGGGGTCTTCGGGTGCATCTGGGCAGACGGCAGCAACAGACTTCTTCGACTTGCCATCACTCTTGGCAGCCGACGGGCTGGAAGGGTTGGCTGCATAGCGACCAGCCTTCTTCAAGATTGACCTGCGAGCACTCTTGGGGGCCGGACAGCAGGTTGAGGTCTTCTTGGCAGGCTTCTTTGAAGATGCACTGGGGGCGGACTCAGGGATTGCATCGGCTTCGGCGTCGGAAGCAGGCTCCCTGGCAGACTTCCGGGCACACTTGCGGCTGGGCTCGGTGGATTCTGCGTCTGCGCCAGCTGACCGCTTGGCCTTGGCTTTCGACTTTTTCTTGCTTTTGCCCTTGCCAGGCTTCCTGCCCCTGGGCTTGGCAGGAACCTGATCCTCAGGGGACAAGAAATCAACGAACCCAGGCTTCCATGCTGCTGGCCGCCCAAACCTCTTCGCAAGCTCATCCTCGGCAACCAACTTGAACCCGGGGCTCTCAGGGGCCTCGGCCGGCTCGGCCCCGTCGGCAGCATCACCGATGGGAGCTCGCTCTTCATCTTCATCAGCGCTCGCTCCCGGAATGGACAACGACACTGAGGTAACCTCTGCCTGCTCAACCAGCGGGGCGTCCTCCTCCTCATCATTTGAGTCCTCCTCAAAGGAATAGTTTTCCGTTGCACGTTCATCCTCCGAATCATCGAACTCGGCCAAAGCCTTTGCAATTTCCTCATCACTGCCAAACACTCTTGGCTGCACAGCAGTCATGCTGCGCACAGGTGTTGGGATCACAGGCTGCATGATCGGCTCCTCCTGATCCGGGGCCTTGCCCACATCCTGACCTCTTGCACACTTCGCTGCATGCTCAGCCTGATCCGGCGCCTTGCCCTCATTCCTTGCTGCCCGCTTCTTGTCCATGTTCTGCTTAAACAGGCGCTTCATTGCCAGTGCATGACTCACCGGCTTTGCTGCTGTCACTGCGGGCACTGTTGGTTCCGGCATCACCTGCTGCTGTGCTGGGGTTGCAAGTACTGTCTCTGGCGTTGGAGTTGGCTCCGGCATTGGAGTTGGCTCTGGCATTGGAGCTGGCTCTGGCATTGGAGTTGCCACTACTGGCCGGGGCCATGGCTCACAGATTGTATCATATCCGGTCACATGCACTGCAAACCTGTTGTGGGCTTTACGAAGTCTGGGTGGCGCAGTTTCCTCCTGCTCTGGGCTGTTGTCGGGAGGGGCACATGTGGTCGATTGCTCGCAGACTCCGGTAGCTGCCGGCACAGCCTCATGGGTACATATTCGTACGTGAGTATACACATGCATGCACGTGCGTGCCCACACACAAACTTATAAATTTCAATTCACAGCCGTGTTGCCGAAGGAAATGAAGCCGCCAAGGCGTCGAGATCCATGGGCAGGGTGTCGACATTGTCAAGGCCTCCAGTGGCAGTAGGGGTTGATTAGGGGTGATTGGGATTCGGGTTTGCAACACGTACACGTACGATATTGAGTTGAGTTACATCCAGAAGGAACAGGCGGAGGGCAAGAGCTTTGAGCTGCTTGAAGCTCCTTGAGCTGCTTCTTCAACTGGAGTAGCTCCGTCAACTTCTGCAACTGATCGATGAGCTGTTTCTGTTGAGCAACCTGGCTTCTCATCGATGTGTGCTAGCTCTCGAACCACATTTCAGATCTGGCAATAAGAAGCCTAGCTACCGGGTCCTGCTGCGCCGTCTTGTTGGGAGTCACCAACACCGCATTGCTACCTGCAACAATATGGATCAATCATAATGTACATATGTACATGCTAGCTGGTGTTTGACTGCATGATGATCGGCAATGCTGGCCTGTGGGAGATGCTGTACTGATAGGGCTCATCTCGTAAGTAGGGCTTGACTCGACAGCGGGGCTTGGCTCCACAGCAGGGATCATCTCGGGGTTTGTACCGCTAGCAGCACTGGTCTCCACAGCACGGCTCATCTTAGGGCTTGTCTTGACAGCAGCACCGTTGGTCTCCACAGCAGGGCTCATCGTAGGGCTTGTATCGACAGCAGCACTGGTCTCCACAGCACGGCTTGTATCGACAGCAACACTGGTCCCCACAGCAGGGCTGGTTTCGACAGCAACACTCGTCTCCACAGCATTCTCGATGGCCCCTGTAGGGACCACCAAAGCGGGAGCTCTGCTTGCACTCTCCTGTATCAAAGCAAAGTCTGAATCCCTTGGCAAGCCGATCTAAACAGCAGAAAGCTGAATGTCCTCTGCAGGTGCAGAAACTTCGCGATCACCCAGGTCCGGAATTGGCAGGGTACCTTATGTTAAGCAGTGGGATGGGATATCTAAAGGAGGAGTCTGAGAGTTATAATCTAGGCAGGTTTACCACATACCGTATTCAACATGCTGTAAACTATTGGCCGGTGCATGTACAGTTTCATATGTATAGTTTAATTTACGGGTCTTACAGCCCAGGCACTAGGAAGCTCCTCTTCATCATCAGTCAAAGCTTCTGATTCTCCAGCTTCCGAACATCCCTCATCCTCTGAACTCGCACGTGTACTGCTCTCATCACCATCAGCGTTGGGGGTGACTGTCAACCCAACACTTTCCATAAGCCTGACAATCGCAGCCTCCCTTGGCGTGTGCCCTCGCCGAACAATCAGATTGAACATTGAGATCATACGACGGAGGGCCCATCCCTGGGTATACACATGTGCAGCAGGAATTGTCAGCTGCATCAGATCAAAAAATGATCTAATATGCAGCATACACGTCTGCACACTCGGTCGCATCCCCAGGTGTTGTAAAGCAGACTTGAGAACCGCCTCGTTCTGCACGATGCTCTCCCTTGTGGTCCCAGTCCCAGCAACTTGAACCTAGGACAACATGCGATCGAGTTACTGTGCTTGGGTGGGTGCTGGAGTTAGGATATGCATGGTAACTTCAGCAGCTAGCGCTTCCAAGAAACAAGCACCAGCTTCTGAGCTAGGCGTCGAAGCTCCGGAACGGCTTCCCACTCTTCAGCCAATCGAGTCGTCATGGCCAAGCGTATGCAACCAAAGCCCGAAGCGGAACAATGCTCAACCCTCGAGCCCAGAAGCCCAGATCGAACAGGAAACACATCTAGTGTGCACACACAAGCACGATCATCTCCACAGCACGACACCCTGCACGGGATGGGCGCACCTTCCGGAGGCGCACTGCTTCTCGCCATCGACGAGATCGGATGATGGATGGCATGGTGGTGATCGCTGATGAGTAATGTGTGGCCCATATAATATCCGCCCTACAGCTGTACTCTTAGGGGTACCATGTGGCTCGCTAGTTGTCGGCGGCTTCAAGCAGCATGTAGTTACGGTACGTGGTAGCATATACGATGTTGAACACAGCAGCCTGGGGATAGTCCGAGATCGCAGGAGCAGCATCGGGATTATTGTGAGTAGTAGTCAATGTGAACATATAATCAAGACATATTGGAAATGGTTGTGGTAGCTTATCCGATAGAAGCTCTACCAGTAGGTATTTTATATGAGCTACCATACACCATATACAGCATATACCGACTTCTGTTTTCATTCACATATCTCTATACCTTTCTTCAAGTCTTTGGTAGGCCGGACTATCATCATCAGAAATGCTTGTATATATCGAGGCGAACAAACACAAGAATGATCTTGAATCCTCTAGCACTTCAATCGGGCCAACAAATGCAAGCAGCACCTGAAACACGAAGAAAGGATACGAATCCTAGGAAACTAGTTTTTATTAACGAACCCAGATTAACTTGTCAAATACCCAGAGAACCAGGCAACAACACAAACGACCAAGAATAAATCACCGAAGGAAGTTCCAGGTTTACATGTATTTCTAACTGCGTATTATACTGCCCCTTCATCGGCGTTCCTTTAGAGACGTGTCACACCTCTCTTCTGCACGAATTTCTGTGGAAGTAGACCCTCAACCCTAAACCGTCCTTACAGTCAGCGACGCCCTCCACTTCCTCCGGGTTGGCCATGTGTCTCAGCAGCTTCCTTGGGCTGGAGGGCCGAAACCCTGGGTCTTCCAACTCGATCCTCCCCTCTGGAGCCTGTGGGGCTGAGGATGGCTTATAGGTTCAGGGTTTATAGGGTTTAGGGTTTAGGATTTAGGGTTTAGGATTTAGGGTTTGGGGTTAGGGTTTAGGGTTTAGGATTTAGGGTTTAGGATTTAGGGTTTGGGGTTAGGGTTTAGGGTTTAGGATTTAGGGTTTAGGATTTAGGGTTCACGGTCGGCCCCAAACCTTCCATGGAAGGACATAGATGGGTCTCGTACACCCGAAACCTTGATTTTCCGACGCTACTCGTAGACTCCAATGTAATTTATATGTTCCACCAGTTTCATCGTGCGTGTCTCTGGGCACGGAAGCCACGTCAAAAGAACAGGCACTGCAATACTCTCCCAAATACGAGGCTACAAAACTGCTGGCCCAAACTGAAGTACCTACAGTAAGTGCTTCGAGTTCATGCAAAATGGTGCAAACGAGGCTTCACCGGTTCATTAGCTCACGCGGTCTAAAGTGTTGTAAAGCCTTCTAAAACCCTATAAACCCCAAGCCCCATGACCGAAAGCCCCTGTTTTCTCTCAATTCCAACAGCTGATGCCCAGGTGTCAGCCACTTGGGGCAGTCAGAGAAGGGTGCACAAGCACCATGCCTGCAGCTCACAAGGGTGTTACATGTGCTTGACAAGGGCTTCGTTGCAGCTTGATGTGGGCGCTAGGGAGGTTGTGTAAGGCATCATCATCAGGGCTTTATGTAACGGCCTTACTGGGCTTTACGAGGATATAAACGGTACTTTGGAAGGGTTCTGCACTTATATAATTTGGCTTTACGAGCGCTTTAGAAAGGTTGGCTGAGGGTTTCAGAAAGGAGTGTACAGAGGCTTGACTTGATTTTACAACGTAGTCTCACCAGATCTTAGTGTTTTGCAAGGGTCACTGTCAAATGTCCGCGTACCCATAGGCCCCAAAGTAGTTCCTTTTTGGGGTTCCTATATCGAATCCTCTAGGGTAACCCCAAAAGGGAACTACTTTGGGGCCTGTTGGGTAACTCTAAACCCTGAGCAGGAAGGATCCTTCTGGGCTTTACCCTCGCATCGGGCTGCTACATGTTCGAGCATTTCATAGGGACATTTCCGGTTGCTGGCCACCGATGTCGAATGCTCGAATAGGTTTCAAGGGAAGACCATGGCATGCTTATACGTGCATCCAAATGAATGTGTGTGTGTGTATATACATTATATATAATTACATGTGTATAAATGTGAACACATAGTGTTCTAGCCACATATAAACATAAATACAAATGTTGCGTGTGTGTGTATATATATATGTATATGTATGTGAAAAGATGTATATGAAATGCTATATAATTGCAGCAGCTGCATTTATGTATATATGCACACCAGGCGAAGATTGAGGATTACTTGGCCAGGGGCAATGACTCTTTGCGCCCTGGAGTGGCTACTGCAAAGGTAAAAGCAAAGACGACAAATGTCGCCACAATTCTTAGTATTTGTTTGCTGTATGAATATGAACCCTGAAACTGTGTCGATGCCAGGTGGCGTGTAGCCGGCAAGCTTCTTGGCCAAGCGGCCCATGACGCCTCCCTTCATACTGCCTCGGGTTCCCGTTAAAGGTTTCAAGGGTTCGGCAGCATCTGCAGGTCCCAGGACCTCACAACACCCTCAAGCAACACATCCTTAAGAAGGGCGGGGGATCCTCTAGGAACAACCCTTCAAGGATATGGGTGGTTGTCAAAATGATGGTCCCTTTTTGGGTCCTTATTGTAATACGGCACCTTATATTTAGGGTACCCAAAAAGGGACCATAACTTTGACAACCAGCCATATGTCAGAAGAAGGTAGGCTCTGTGGGACTAGGGCTTAAAGGGAACTCCAGAAAGTTGGAATGTGGTTTCAGGGTAGGATACCCTATAACTTACCATAAAGGGTTTAGGATAATCATATTCCAACTTTCTGGCTCTTGCTTTAGACTAAGCCTGCAGCCTGCAGTCCCCCTACCCCGATTTTAGGGCTCTACTTGAGGGCTTAGGGTACTAGGGGCTTCGGATTTAGGGTTTAGGGAACTACAGAGGTTTCATAAGCATATTCAGAGACATAGAGCTTCGAAGCTCTTTTCAAGAGAGCTTGAGTCGGGCTCCCGAGGCCCCCCAACTTTTCCCAAAGGGTCCAAAGTACCGATATAGTAGAATGTAGGGTTTCTATAGTAGGAATTACTATTATGATTTGGGGAAGTATTCCCCATAACAGTACATCGGACCCTTTGGGTTTGTAGTGACAAAGTCCGAATACCGAAGTCTCGTATGCAGCCAGCGTTGCTCACGAAGCCCTTGACGGAATGCCTGGCAGATGATCATGTCTGTGGCTCGTGGCTAAAGCCCCGAACCGTGAGCCCGACACCCACAGACTCCACCTGAGTTTAAGGTCTATTGTTTAGGGTGGAGGGTTCGGGGTAACGGGTCCAGGGCACCGGCTTGCATGACTTCGAGTGCTACGTTTCAGCTTCATGTCTTTGGGGCAAGGAGTTGCTTTGCTGGCTAGCTCGTATCCCGATACTATCATGCTGGGTCCCCTAAACCCTAGACCCTGAACCCGAAACCCAGAATCCTAAACGCTAAGTCCTAAGGCCCTAAACTTTCTGGATTCCTTCTTCTTCTTCCATTTTCAATATCAGACGATGCGTGCCCAGAGGCCTCCAAGTTTTCTGTCAAACAGGAACTGTACCTACTGTCTCCATTGTGGCTCCATGTTTTGGTTTAATCAGTTATGTATATATATATATATATATATATATATATATGCATACATATATATATATATATAGAGAGAGAGAGGATTATTTAGGATCCCATAAGGTAACCTGCAAAACGGAACTACAATGGAGACTATAGGTAAATCCTTGTTGAACTCACGCTCTAGACATTCCCTTCACACTAGAACGTAAACCCAAGACCCCACACACGAACTCGGAGCCGAACATACAGGGTTCAGGGATTAGGGTTTAGGGTTTAGGGTTCGAACTGAACGGCAGAACCTTGAATATCAAGACTTCTACACAAACTCGCGAAACTGAATGCCTTCAACTCCAAACCCCCGAATCCTAAACCCCGAATAGTCTGGCCTGGGCGACTCTTGTCACTGGTAATCTTCTACCGCAGGATTTTCCGTCTTGCTCGAAAGGAAATCCCCAACCCCAGTGAACCTGCTTGGGCCTCTAGATTAAAAGAATCCGCCAACCCGAATGTAGCGCCTGAAGCCGCGAAAGAGGACGTGGTCGGACTTTTTCACGGCGATGCCCTTGTCCCTGTCAGCAGACTACCGAATGTAGGGGTTGATTGTTGCTCCATTTGTTGTTGGTGACGCTGTTCTTGCCGTGTAGCCCCGAATAGGGCACCTAGAACCGTCCCATGATTCCCCAAACATTGCTTTGACAGAGCATGGCTTCAAACGATCTTCGAAGCCAGAACGAGTGTTCAGGGTGGATTTGCTTACCAGAGGTTCAGAATTTATAGAGTGTGGGGATGCAGAGAAGAGGTAATTACGAGCCCTCAACCCCACCGCCAGTGACCAGCCTTCCACCCTAGACGCACCAGCAGTGAACCCTACAGCGTAGAACTCGAGAACCTCACGGCTAAAGCCCCGTACCCCTAGACCATCCCGCTCGGGAGCCCCGAAAAGAATCGGATCGGGGCGGCTTCCCATGCATATCTAACCATCTGTAAAAGTATATATATATATGTATATATATATATATACACATATTTTGATTTCTTTACATGAGGAAGAACATAAAACATCTAACTGCCATGAGCCCAGCTGCAAGTCAGATCCTTCGAGCGCGAGGCAACCGTACCTTTGGGCGCACACTTTGGTGGTTGTGGGTTTTGCAGCTTACGGCGCTTACGGGTTTACCGAGACCCAGCGGTCGTTTTGTGGTCAGAGGGGTTCGAGTCTCGCAAGACTCGCAAGTTGGTCCGAAATTCAGCAATGCAAACCCTAAACCCCTAAACCCTGAACCCTAAACCCTAAAACCCTAAAACCCTAAACTCCTAAACCCCTAAACCCTAAACCCTAAATATTACAGATCGAACCTCGAAGCTTCTTGGGCCCAAAACCCTAAACACTACCCAGAGGCTCCATAGTAGTTCCTTTTTGGGCTTACCTCATAGGATTCTAACTCTGAACCCCAAAAAGGAACTACTTTAGGGCCTTAGGGTACACACCAAACTTCTTGGGTCGGGCTTTCTTCTTTCGGCGTGCGGAGCTTCGGCTTCACTTCACTGCCGCCCTCCTCGCTGGGCAAGGATTGAACTAAGGACTACGCAGTGTTAAGGCAGACCCGTCTGGAACAGACCCCTCCTATCCCCAAGGGTCCAAAGGACCCAATAATTAAGTACTCGGTTTTAGGAAAGTAGTTATGTAGGTTAGGATTTTGGAGAGTATATGATTATTGGGTACTTGGACCCTTGGGGTATGTTCGAAGAGCTAATCGGGATGTACCACTAGAGCCAGCCCCCAAAATGCACATCGATACGACCATCCTACATTCGGGGTAGGGCGGCACTTTTCAGGGGGGGCAGCTAGCTGTGCAAAACGGCCGCCCCCTCAACTGTCATAGCGTAGCTTCCTGTTAAATATGAAACAGCAACTTGCAAAGCCCTGAAACAATCCACCCCCCCTCCCCTGCATTTTCAGGGCCCCCTATCTGCGTTACACCCCCTGGAACCCCCATTATAAGTCTATTTAGAGACCCTCAAACCATCTTACTGAAAATCTCGCGAAGAGGTGCAAATACCCAGCTGCAGACACCCTATGAAGCCCTCGGGAGGGACCAGCCCAGATCTGGGTTTCTTACGTCGTCACGGCGGAGGACACGGAGTCCTGCGTCCGGCAGTTTTGGATCGAGGGTTCTGGGCCGCTGCGGGATTTGGGTTTAGGGTTTAGGGTTTAGGGTTTAGGGCTTAGGGTTTAGGGTTTAGGGTTTAGGGTTTAGGGTTTAGGGCTTAGGGCTTAGGGTTTAAGGTTTAGGGTTTAGGGTTTAGGGTTTAGGGGCTTCATGGTTTGGGACTGAGGCTTGACTTAGATTTTTTAGTAAAAGGGGAAAAGGAGGGACCCTTAGCAAGGAATTCTAGGTATATACCCTTAATATAGCCATTCTATTCCCATTATATAGCCCCATATAGGGTGGGGGTCCCCATTAAGGGTCCCTCCTTTTCCGCTTTGACTTAGGGTTTGGACCCAAGCTCAAGGTTCAAGGATTAGGGCTTAAGCTGTGCGGTTTAGGCTTCAGGTTGAAGGGTTGGGGCCTTAAGATCTCATTTCGCTAAAGCCCAAGGTTGAAGGGTCTCCCAAACCCTAAACTCGAAACCTTAATGTTAAATCCCCTACCCTAAACCCTAAACCCTTAAACCCCAAACCCAAAACCCCTAAATCCTAAACCCCTAAACCCTAAACCCCTAAACCTACTATAGGAACCCTCAAAGAACCCCTCTGCTGCAGGCGGTTGAGCCGTTTCGGACCCTGAGTCTTTGGGCAGCGTTGTGCGTTTCGAACTTCGAAATTCAGGGAAACCTTTGAACCCTCGACCCCCAAACCTGCGACCCTAAACAAAAAAACTCTCCATAAACCTTTAAGCCTGAAACCATGGAATTCGGGCTTAGGCGCAGAAGGACGGATCAGAGGAACGTTCCTGGAGAGCGGCGACTGCCTCGACATCCGGTTTCATCAGCTCCTGCAGTGGATGCCAGACTCAGACTTACCCTAAGGCCCTAAGGGTCCAAGTAGTTCCGATTTTTTGTTTTTGGTACCAAAAAAGGCCCTAAAGTCCTAGACTAGGGAGTCCAAGTAGTTCCGATTTATGGGTTTTTGGTACCTAAAAAAAGGCCCTAAAGTCCTATAATAGGGGGTACTTGGACCCTCAGACTTAGTGTTTAGGGTTTACACTTTAGGGTTTAGGGGTGTGGGGGTTTAGGGTTTAGGGCGTCTAAACGTTTTCGGGATTTGTGGTACTCAGCTGATAGTATATACTCAGCTGATAGTATAGCTCGTGAAAAGTCCATGCACCGATATACTATCTACTTTGTAATGACAAGGGTCCTAAATAGGTGTGCAAACGCCACAGTATAACCGTATATCCTGTGTAGGTACATGGAGCCTGAGGGTCGTGTTGATGTCTAACGCTCGCGGGACCTGTCTACACAAGGCTTTACGGTTCTTGTCGCGATTTCATGACGGCATACATTGGCCTTTGCTGTTTGGATACATGGACACTTGGGGCTTTGTAGATGTTCGTAAAGATAGGTTTATGCTGAAACATCATCGACGTTCCTCCTGGCAACGCTACATCCTACAGTACAGACCCTCGACTCTGAAACCCTACACCCTTAAACCCTAAACTCTTAACCCTACATCCTAAGCCATATCACCCTTATGCCCCCTCGGGCCCAAGACCGTAACACCCTTAGCCCTAAGCTCTGAACCACGAAAGCAGAGCACTGATGCCACTGCGCTCGGATTCGCGTCTAGGGCTTCTAGGGCTTAGGGTTTAAGGTTACAGCTTGTACGGGAACTCGTAAAGCCCTGTAGCCTCGACGTTCTGTGGAAATATCCGTGGCAGAAGAACTGTACCTATAGTCTCCGTTGTAGTTCCTTTTTTTGGTTTAACCAAATATATAACTAGGATCCTATAAGGTAACCCCAAAAAAGGAACTACAATGGAGACTATAGGTATGGGAAAACTCCCCCCCAAGGCTTTAGATAAAGCAGCAGACCGCTGATGCCAAACCTGCTTCACACCGCCCGTGGCTCTCGGTACATTACTATACTGGGGCCCTGAAGCCTAATGTGCTTATATATATATATATATATAGGCATATACATACAGGAAGCCCTGTTAGGCCAAAGAATATTCAGGTCTATGAGCCTTAGGGCATATTTCACATGGCACCTCCTCTTCGTCGGCAGCTGCATGTTCCTCGTCCTGCTCTAGCTCCTCCAAATTCCACTGACACTGGTTGAATGTTTAGTTGACCTAGTGATTTTAGTTCAGGGGTTACGGTGTGAAGCTGAAACTTTAGGATAAGGTTGTGTATTCTCTCCCGAAAAATCTGCAAAAGGCCTTGGGTTCCGTCGATACAACCTGGAGAAACCTTCATCTCTTGCAGCACTTATGGACAGCTTCTCTGTACATGAGGCCTGGACTACAAACAAGACATCACAGAAACCCTACTGCTGCTTCGAGGTGTGCGGGTTTAGGGTATATTGCGGGATCTAGATCTCTGTAGAACTACTGACATTAGGCGTGCACTGCATCAGGAGTATGAGCGGGTGCAGGTCGTTGACGATTGGGCAAATGCGAAACTTCTCAAAAAGTGTTCCTTCAACGGTTCTGCGAGGGTTCCTTAGAGGGTTCCATAAGCGTTCCTTAAAGGGTTCTTGGTTTAAGCTTCCTTAACGGGTTTATGGTGACAACATTCAGCACTCGAGCCTTGCTGTGACGCTCCGAGGACTGAGTAACTAGTTAGCAACGTAGTTCCAAGGGAAAAATGAGGGGCAATTAATAAGGACCCCTAGGTATAGACCCTTAATATAGCTATTATATACCCATTATCTAGCCCATTATAGGGTAGGGGTCCCCATTAAGGGGTCCCTCCTTTCCCCTATGAGTAGTAGGTAAGTTGAACTGGGAAACGAATTCAATACCTGTTCCATTGCCCTGGTTGCTATGTCCTACGATTCATTCTATAAGTGGGCCCTGAAAGCGGCTTAGGGTATCGGTATAACTAGGGGACAGGGGCTAAAGGGTCTGAGGATCACCTTAAAGGGTCCATGTACCCATCGAAGTGAAGTCTTTGGCCGTTCCAGGTTGCTAGCCTTAGATTCCTGCGTAATGGATCATGGGACTTAGTAACTCGGGTTGTAAACAATCCAGCTATAGATTCGGTACTCCTTGCCTCCAGTGCATTGCTTTATTTGCTGATTCTAGCGCGGCCAAGTTTACTTGCTACGCCACAGGATCTTCCAAACAGGCTTCACAGGGACGTCTTACATGTCATGGTTCACATCCGAAACTCTGCGGTATGTGGAAGCCATGCAGTGAATCAATGGTTCTTTGTCTTTAGTAAACCATGTTGTGCAGCAAACATCCCTGAGCCCTAAACCCAGATATGCTTGGAACCACTGGGTACCATGCCTACCAACATATACAGGATTAGATGTTTGGGCAAAACTCGCCTTTAGGGCTTTGGGGTTTACAGGGCTTTGGGCCTAAGGCTACTTCCAGAGAGGACTCCGATACCCCATGCCAGAACCCGCCGACCAGAATCAGCCTTAATAACTAGAGTAGGGTTTTGGGGTACAGTATACTATAATTATAGTAAGGTTAGACCCACTAAACCCTCATGGTAGCCCTTCCAGACCCTGTATCAGAACCCCTTTAAGGAACCCTACTCGAATGTCATGGGAGGCCAAAAGGGGGGTTTAAGATTCTTGGGGTAGAGAAAGGGAGGTGGCCTTGTCCGGATCATCGTCTTGCACTGCGGTATTCAACGCCGCCATGCGGCCTTCATCCTTGAGGCTCAGGATATACAAAAGGAGCAATGAAGATGACCCAGTTCTGAGGGTACCATTCTCTTGTTATCGGTTTTAGGTTTAGGGTTTAGGGGTGCCAGGACCCTCCTTGTACCTCCAAATAGGGGTATATGGTCCCGAATAAAGATCATCTAGGGTCGAATAGAGGGTAGATGGAGGGTCTAGGAAGATATTCAATCGGCTTCTGCATCTGGGGCCTTCGGACCCCTAAACCCTAAACCCTGTCGGGAGGGTTTGGTCCTTCGCAAACCGTGAGGGAACATGCATGGCAGGCTACCGCTCGACTGGGGTTTGGGGCATACGATTTCGAGTGCAGGGCTCATCATGCGGATCGTTCATCCACCACACAAGACCACCTTGAAGGGAGGCCTCAGAAAATCGTCGAACGGTCGAACTTAAGCAACCAGCCGGGCGGCTGTGCCCAAATGCAGCGCAGCGCAACGCTTGAGCGTCTGCTGATGGTAAACCCGCGCCTCAGCGTGGGGGTTTTGTTTACTGTTTGTACAAGGTTTAATCCAACAAGCCTTTAGGACGGTATAGCTGTAGCGTGTCCGGATAGGTTTCGGAGTTCTGGTGTTCTGGCAACTGAAAGTTTACCGTGAACTACCATAGACTGTTTTTGCTTTGGTTGTACTACGAACCCCAATATGGAACTTGTTGGGAACGCTACGAAACGCAGACTTTGGTAGGAATATGGTTTGGCGGCTTTTGGGGTATCCTAGCAACGACAGTCAACTTGAGAACACCACGTAATCACGAAATATAGGGGCCTTAACAATTACGTAGATTATCTTCAGGGCTCCTTATTATAGTTATAGTATACTATACCCGCAAGCCCTATTCTAATTATTCAGGCCCCTATATTGAACCCGGTCATGGCTTGGGAGCTTAAATCAGATCCGAGCCCGAGCTACTGGTTTCCGGTTTGAGGCTTGCAGTTTAGGGTTTCGGGCATGAGGTTTAGGTATGGGGGTTGAGAGTTGTGACAAGAGTTTAAGGGTTTAGAGTTTGGTTGAGGGTGTAGATTGTATTAATTTGGGGGGTCCAAGAAGTTGGGGTCTAGAGTTTGGGGTTTAGGGTCGTGATTTCAATCCGTTCCAGGAGCCTGACTAATGAGAGCAGCGTTTGGCAGTCCTCCTAACCTTTTGTTACATGCCTGACGGTAACTCCACTGATTATTCAGCCCCACAAATCGACGTAGGAACCTAATTCAGCCACACCAACTTCTTTGTCCCAGAGATACGTTGGACCGTTTCTAAAACCCTCAAAAAACGACGAGGATTCCCTAGTCAGCTTCCCTGAAGAAGCCTAACTCTCCGAACCCAAACCTGAAAAAACATGCCCTACCCTAAGGCCCTAAAGTAGTTCCTTTTTGGGAGTACCTTATAGAATTCTATATATGAATCCCAAGAAGGAACTACTTTGGGGCCTGTGGGTAGACCCTATGTAAGGCGTAGAACCCCGAAAAGCCTGAAAAAGGATCAGCGCCGACATGCCAAGCAGCATTGGGCTTTGCATAGGTCAGCTTGCACATCTCCACAAGCTGAGCCTACACTGAGATGTCAAGCAAACCGAAACGAGCGCATGCATGAACCTGTGAAGGCCGTACAAGCAAAACTCCGACCCAAAATTAATACTAGGCTGACCCGTACGATCGTACGGACAAGGTTGATGACACCGATACGAGTGGCAGCAGCTTGCTTGGCCGCATGCCAGTTGCCAAAAACAAGAAAGCTTCTCATTTTGAGGATCGGCTTCTCTCGGCTCGCTGCTGCATCGGGGACATGGACTTTGGTCAGGATGCTTCGAGTTCTGGGGCTTCCCGCAAACTGCCCTGGACTTACCTTTGGTTAGTAGGGAATGGAAGAAATAGTAGTTATACTTGTACCCCATTCCTCCGTTCCCTACTCACCAAAGGTAAGTGGAGTGGCTGACTGCACTGTGAGCAAGCTTCAGGAGGCATGTTTGCGTTTACATATGTCCGACTCGTGGACCTTTGGGCAGCTTCGTAGCCCCTGTCGCCCACTACGACGTCCAGTTTTCGTGCTGTGACTTCTGAGCAACATAAGGGCCTATAATATTACCCATGCTATTTTGGGGGCTCCATTATAGTAGAATAGGCCCCAAGACCCCTATATTATTAATAAAATTCGGCTCTGGAGCCGATCCCTGAAATTCGGTTGTGAAGTGCTTGATGTCACTCTCTTTTGGTGACAGGCCCTACACCAAAAACTCTTGAAACCGAAAACTCGTCAACGCAAAACTCCAACCCCTGAAATCTTAGACTCTCTCTCTACGACTCTAGGCTTGATTCAGGGCCTCGAGGTTTCTTTGATGTGCGCCACGAAACTGAACTGTGCTGCAGCGATGCCCGAGGAATTGGTCATCAGATTATTCACACCCGAAACAGAAACGGACAGGAACATGTGTAAAGCACCTCAACACCACGGCTATCGTGGGCATGGTACCGCAGTTATACAGTACTTATGCTCGCCTTTTGGGGCGTCCTGTTCAGATATTATTAAAAGTCTTAGGCTGGTGTGAAAGCGACCAGGTTGATCATCACTCGATGCGCTGAGATCCGCAACCTCCTAGAAATCCAGCTACCGTTAGAATGGGATAGCTCAACAAGACTGTTTTTCGTATGTACTGCAACCCAATCAATGGTCGATCGAGGCCTTGATAGCGGAAACGATGTGCTTCTTCATGGTCTGACAAGGACACCGCTCGGGTTTAGGGCTTGTAGGGTCATGGGATTCAATCTAGGGCCGTGACTGTCCCAATGGCAGTTGGCGGTTAAAAGTTGCCATACCTGTTCTTCGAGGAGTTAGCTATCGATAAGGAGGACCTCCCGACTCCGACCCACGAACACGAGGATTTAAAGCTCCCCGTGTGCTGTTGAGTTAGCCAGAGAAGCCTACTGCAAGAGAGAAGAGGAAGGATACTTCTGGATGGACTTCAGCTCGTTCAATTGCAGCAAGCACAACCAAAGTCTCTAAAAACACACGGGAGTAAGCCCCAGACCATGAAACCATGCATCGGAAGCACAAAGACCAGAACCCTAAATCCACCTGGTTTCGGCAGAACCCTAAACCCATCTGGTATCGGCAGTAGACGACCGACACCGGCCTGAGACAAGGGAACTCAACGGCAATATACCCTAAACCCTAAACCCTCAACCCTCAACCCTCAACCCTAAACCCTCAACCCTCAACCCTAAACCCTAAACCCTCAACCCTCAACCCTAAACCCTAAACCCTCAACCCTCAACCCTAAACCCTAAACTTTGCCTGCATCCAAAGGACTTCCTCTTAGATGAACTCCAGACTTCACCACAAGGAGCCGAGGAGCAACCCCTATAAACTATTGGGGTTCCCGTAAAGGGGGTCTATAAGGGTTGCTACGTAAGGGCTACTATAAGGGTTTATCTAAGCTCTATACCGGAACTTAGAACCCTAGCAAAAGTTGTGTAATCTTAGCTGTTTCTTATAGGGATTACAATAACCAAAAACTAAAAGATATTCTAAGTACCCCTAAGTAAAGGGGGTCAAGGAACCCCATAGAGGATCCTACAAGGGATCCTTTAAGGTTCGGTTTTGGGCACTTCGTGTTCGGAACTCCGTGGCTAGGCTGACAAGCAGAGAATTAGGAAAGCATAGGGTAGTGTCTAAACCCCCACAAAAAGCGGTGTTTTGCACACAGACGGTGATAATTGGGCTGAAAATCTGGATATCAGAACAGCAGGACGAACTAGGAAATGTCAGCCATAGCCTGAATGAAGTCTTATGTAAGCGGCAGTTGGTACCCCCGGCACGAACTCAAAGAGAGGTATCGAGGTATCTAAAGAGATCTGGAGTGGCCTCGCATGGGACGACGAGGGAAAGGAGTCTTGGGACGTGTGCCGCAACATGTGCCGTTGGCTGTTTCAGCGCCAGAGGTCTGGGTTGCCGTTGTCACAGTTAGGAAAGGACGAGGTCTGCGTGGACGTTATCATACTTGACCCATGGATGCTCTGCGGACAGGATGAGGTCTGGGTGGTTGATATCATGGTTGACCCATGGGTGCACTGGAGAGCGAATGTGGTTTAGGTGGACGCTATCATGGTTGACCCATGGATGCTCTGGAGGATGGATGAGGTCTGGGTGGACGTTATCATGGTTTGGCCCTGGATGCTTTTGGGGAACGGATGATGTCTGGGCGGACGATATAAGGTTTGCCCATGGATGCCCCTGGGAAACCAGGAAACTACCAGGTTTTTGTTCGCGCCTGTTTCCTCCTTTAAGGGTTCCTAACCCATGAAACCCCAAACCCCTAAACCCCCCAAACCCCTAAAACCCCCAAACCCCTAAAACCCCTAAACCCCTAAAGAACCTGTTTCCTCCTTTAAGGATTTAAGGATTCCTACAAAGGGCCCCTCAACCCTAAACCCCTGTACCCTAAGCTCTAAAGCCTTGAAGCCCTAAAGCCCTCCTAAACCCCAATATAATAGGGTTTTGGGGCTCGGGTTCATGTAGGGACCTTAATAATTAGAATAGGGTTTGGGATTATGTTATACTATATAAGAGTAAGGAACCCCCAAAATCGTATAGGTATTATTTTGGCCCCTATATTACGGTTACGGTTTATGGGGCATCGGAGAACTACGATTGAGGTGCTCTGGTTGACCCCTGTGCCCTAAACCCTAAAGCTTTGAAGCCCTAAACCCTAAACCCTTAAACCCTAAACCCTAAAGCCTTGAAGCCCTAAACCCCAGACCCTTCTCCCACCGAGGCAGGCTGGATGAGTTTGTGCGAGGCGTCTTTGTGCACAAGAAGCTTGCAAGGATTGTTCCTAAGGGCTTTCAAGGGCACTTTAGGCTTAGGGCCTAGGGCTTTTGGTTGTTTGGGGGTTTTACGGTTTAGGGTTTTTAGCTGTTTGGGTGTTTAGGGAACAAAGCTTGCAAGTATTGTTCCTTAGGGCTTGAAGGGCACTTTAGGCTTAGGGCTTATAGAGCTTTTCGTTGTTTGGGGGTTTACGGTTTAGGGTTTTTCGTTCTTTTGGGTGTTTTAGCGAACAAACATGGCTTGCAAGGATTGTCCATTGGCTGAGGAGGTTCGGGCTTCAGGGGCACTTTGGATGGTTTGCTTCTGGCAGGTTTACTGGGAGGATGCGGGGACTTAGTAAGTCAGCTTAGAAGTATTGTGGGCGAGAGTAAGACCAAACCTAATTACTGCTTTTGCAAACCTAGTTACTAAGTCCTACGGTTGATGATATAAATCCTGCATTACCCATAATAAGGATTCTACCATAACTCCCACAGCTCAGGGTCGATAAGGTAATGCAGGATTTGTATCATCAACCGTATGATCCGTTGGGAGGATTCAAAGAAGGTTCAGGGTTCAGTTATAGTATCCTTAAGGGAGGGGGCTCCAAGGGGGGGTACATAGCCTAGTGATCCCTAACTCTCCCTAGTACTCCCTAAGGTTCCCTTACAGTCCCCTAAGGATTCCTTATACCCTCCCCCCTTGAACCACCCTCCCTTAAGGATCCTATAATTCAGGTACAGCTTGGGGCTTCTGAGGCCGCTTGCTCCTCTGTTGCTCCTCCTGTTAGCCAAACCCAAAGGGTCCAAAGTACCGATATAGCAGAATGTAGGGTTCCTATATTAGGAATTACTATTATGATTTGGGGAAGTATTCCCCATAACAGTACATAGGACCCTTTGGGAAAAAAGATTTGATCTTTAAGGAACTGTCAAAACGAAACTGGGCTCATAGTAGAAGGAACCCCCCACGTATGTAAGTTAGATGAGCTACAGGTAGCGCTTCAGGGCATGTAGGGTTTCAGGGTTTGGGGAGAGGGACACTCACTCCTTGACTCCTCGAAACCAAACAGCGGTTGGTTTGAAGGAGCTTGGGGCTACCGGAAATCTTATGGACGGCAAGTGCAGTTTGGGGTTTATAGTCTACGGCCGCAAGAACTGTTCCTGTGAATCCAAGGGTTTAAACTTAGGCAATAAAGCTTAGCACGAGCATGATGCTGTTGCCGATGGTGAAGATGATGAATGTGACGAGGATGCTGGCAACCTGCGCTGACGCTGATGCTTATGGCTCAGTTTGTGATGGCGACAATGGTACTCTGCATTTGCCGATGCTGAAGATGGTGACTATGATGTATGATGCTGTTGTTATCGCTGGTGCTACGTCAGAAGTCTGAAGTCTGCATACAGTGGCTCCCCATGATTTCCAACCGAACGAAACCCTCCCCCTGCACAACGCACAAACAGCACTGATCACGGCCATATTTCCCAAAGCGTCCAAGTACCAATGATTTGTGACCAAGACAGCACTGCGACAAAAAGCTCCGCTAAATAGCTCCGACGCTCTTGTTCGACAGGCCGCTGGGTGGGGTTGGGCAGCGAGAGGAAAGGGTTCTCCACTTTCTTAGGCGGACGGCAGCTGAGATCTTAAGAAGGCTTAGATAGGGGCCCTATTAAGGGGTTTTGCGGGAGGGGGGTAACATTATAGCATAAGTGGATGGGGACTATGAGGTGACATTGTTGCACATCATTCATGATCCCATGCTTGGTGTTTCAACAGCTGGTTGCAAAAGTGTCGGTTTGGGGTTTGTTGTCTTCAGCATTCAACTGTGGCGATATCATGGGCTGCTTTTTCTCCGTAGCAAAGTTCGGTGCTTGCGGGGGCAGATTGGGATTCCTCGATTCACCCAAGGAACTGTAGCCCGAAACCGTACAGAACCCAGAATTCAACCCTCATCCCCAGAGCCTAGGCCCTTATCCAAGAACTGTAACCTACATGTACTCCTTGAACCCTAAACCCTGAAACCCAAACCCCAACTAATCCCTAAAGGCACAAACCCTCGTACCTATGTAATCTTTAACCCTGAGACCGGAAATCTAAAGACACAAATCTGGCGGTATACTAGGGTTCGGCGGGGTAGACTGCAAGAAAGTCTTGGCAAAGAGCCCGCAGAAATGCTACTACTCATTATTCAGGGTGCTCATGTTGCAGCCTGACATGGGTAGCTTTCTCAATTAGGGTCAGGTTTTCGATCCCCGAATTCTAACCCTAATTTAGGGAGCCACCCGCATGTCTGCTTGTGGTACGCAGGAGTTGTGATTCTCTCGGTGCAGTCAAGCAGCGACCTCGCCAACGTCCTTGACCTGAACATGCCGTGCGGAAAGGCCCAGGGCTAAAGCAAACCAGGCGGAGAGCTTAAGGTCCCAGACCTTCCAACAATTAAGGGATATACCTTAAATTATAATAGCGTTCCTAATATGATTTAAGGTTTCTTGCTTAATTAAGGGATTTTGGAAGGTCTGGGGTCTACAGTAGAAGCCAGAAAGTTGGAAACCGGATTAAAGCCAAATAGTGCTGGGACGCCCTATACATTACTCTTAAGAGTTGAGGCTGTTGGGTTTCCAACTTTTGGGCTTTTACTGCAGGAGTCTGGGGGTGAATGCTTATCGTCATCACTGTTACTGCTCATGGCGCATGTGTCCGGAAGCGCAAGCAGATTGCATATCGATCAGCTGACGAATCACTGAAGAATAAAGATGATGCATTTATTTGCGGAAACCTGATGGGACCTACTCCTGGGACAAAACGTAGGCATAGTGACCCGAAGCAAGCGATGCTTCATGGCCAGAGTACATATACTACGCAGGTGCATTGACCCTTTCAGGAACCACATATCTATGTGGTTTCACGACCGAAAAAAGGGATTTAAAAATGAGTCATTCTACACCCCTAGACTTTGCCGCTATACGACCAAGACCATATTCGAACTGTTTAAGCCTCTGTCTATGCTACAAGATCCGCCCGAATGGTTATACTTTTGTAAGCCCAAGCAAAGTACTTCGAAAGAATCTTCCGTACGTAAAACCCTCGACCCGAAACCTGCAAGAGCGTTGTGCTTGGGAATTTGGCTCCTTCGGGGCAGACTGAAGCAGAATCAATGAACCTTGACGAAAGAAAAAGCATTCCTAGGTCTGAACTCCGAAGGACAACCTGAAAAGAACGGATCATCCCCTACACCAGTTAAGTACACCAAAACCCTTATGCGGAGCCCAAGCTATAGGGCATAGAGATGTGGGTGCTGACGTCTGAAGAAGACAACAACAACGACGACGACACTCACAACGACAACAGCATCAACAGCAGCAGCAGCAGCAACAACAACAACAGCAACAGCAAGAACAGCAACAGCACCCACCGCCACCACAACAGCACCGACACCAACACCAACAACAGCAATAGCAATACTGCCAGAAGCAGCAGCAGCACCCACTTACTACTGGCACTATTACTACTACTACTACTACTGCTACTACTGCTACTACTGCTGCTGATGCTGCTGCTACTTCTACTTCTACTTCTACTTCTACTTCTACTTCTACTTCTACTTCTACTACTACTACTACTACTACTAGCCACCCCCCCCCCTCCCAACTACACTTGTTCGATCCGGGCTGGGCAACGGTAGCTGCTAGGCGCCTTAACTGCGATAGTTGCAGAAGATGCACGGGCTCAGGCTCCTTATCTGTGACAGCTGCAGAAGTTGCAGAGGCTCAGTTTCCTTAACTGTCACAGCCGGTGAAGTCGCAGGGGCTCAGGCCCCAAAGCTGCGACAGCAGCTGGAGTTGCAAGCTCGACGGGGAAGAAACTGATAAACCCCAGGTGGTCGGATAGTACGAAAACGCTGTAAATACCGTGCCAAACCCAGGTGCTGCCAAGAAGGGTTTAACATTTCTAGAACCTGAAGCGCAACATCTTCTAAACATCAAAAACAAAGACGCCAGCTGTACGTGGGAGGGTCTCGCCAACACCCCCACCGCCCAACCTCTGCGTAGGAGGATCTGTTTTTGAAGTGGTGTGTGTGGTGTGTGCGCGCTTGAGTGTGGAAATATTGTTCAGGCTGTCCGCAAAACAGTGTCGTGATCATCCCCGAAGAAGCTTTCCCCCACCCAATTTCGAGTTTTTTTGCAAACAGTTCCAAACAGCAAAGTTTAATACACATAGTCGAGAAGTAGGGGCTCAGAATATGTAACAAAGTCTGACATCACAAAAGTACCGTAAATACCGAGTTAAACGGCTCTTGTGGTGATACTGCTGGGTGTGTTCGCGTAACACTGTCGTCATCATCCCCCCCCCACCCCCCACCCACCCCAGAAGCAAGTCCAAAATCAAGAGCCCGAGTTTGCAAACTCGACAAGTCGATTTTTAGGCCTCTTAGGATGATCGCACATGACGAAAGTGCCGTAAATACCGAGTAAAATGGATGTTGTCTTAACATGGTTGAGAGCAAGTGTAGTTGGTAGGGGGGGGCCTACTACTACTACTACTACTACTACTACTACTACTACTACTACTACTACTACTACTACTACTACTACTACTACTACTTCTACGACTGCTTCTACTACTACTTCCACTACTACTACTACTACTACTACTACTACTACTACTACTACTACTACTACTACTACTACTACTACTTCTACTACTACTACTACTACTACTACTACTACTACTACTACTACTACTACGACTACGACTACGACTACGACTACGACTACGACTACGACTACGACTACTACTACTACTACTACTACTGCTACTACTACTAACTACTACTTCTACTACTCAGAGTGGACTTCTACAGACCAAGCCGCTGCAAAATGGGCATAGTCGGTAAAGCCACGCCAAGTGAAAGCACGGATCGAGGCTTTGGAGGTGGTATTCTTGGCTGCGACGGAGTTGCGTCTTATGTGGAAGATCAAGAACTTCTTAACTAAAGTTTTAACTCCCAAGGAAGGGGGGCTTCAATAACTTCAATATGCACAACGAAACGTTAGTTCGCCAGTTTGCCATGTGTTCATAACCTTGCATTACACCTACTATATATGATCTTGTAACACAGGCTGAGCATGTGGGTCCAAGCACTCACACGCTATGCAGTCCGGCCCCAAAGGCAGCGCTTCGGCTCAAAGTGTACACTGCTTGGGCACTCGGGGCCCTCATCAGGGTTTGGGTTTCGGGTCTTGGACCTGGACAAATCTCAAAGTCATGTGCGAGGGAGTGGCAAAACTGTTCTGACGGACGTTACCGACGATAGAAGAAGTGGAGCCGACAACGTGAATTCCATCTCGGCTTGAATGTTGCTCTTGCGCGTCTTGCTCCTGCTCAGTCCTGTTTACACCGCTGTATGTTTTCCTCGCTCTTCTGTTGCAATACTTTGTTAGCAGCGATGCCATATTGACGCGTTGCGGTGGGACAGGGGACAGGCTTTGCCGCTGCATGGCCAGTTTGGTGGGCTCCGAGTGTGTCATCCTACAGGGGACCTGAAGCCAGGCCTCTGGGATTCCTCTTGGATATTCAAGGGATTAAACCATCCCAAACAGGCTCAATCATAGGGACCCTAGGGGGGTAGGGGGAGGGGGGGAGGGGACTATACTTTCTTAAATAAGCCTTGTTAAACTTAGGTCCTTCTTGTGGGCATGAAGGCCCCCTACCCCCTCCCGCCTACCCCCCTAAGGGTCCCTGCGACTCAAGGGTTCTTACGCCACAACTACGAGTGAATTCACAGCCGATAGCCCTCGATCATCAAGACGAAGTCTGACCCATAGAACTTCCGTTGGAGGCTTCTAGGGCTTAGACTCAGACTTTGTCTGTAATGAATGTAGATATGTACTGTAATTATAATAAGGAGCCACCAAAACCCTATTCTCATGATTAAGGCCCCTACATTAGGGTTTAGGTATGCCCGCAAGTTAAGACCCGAGCACAGCCGGGACTCCACCAAAGTTCCACCCGTGCCGTCGGACACAGATATCCGGTAAGTGTGCGCGACTGCCCAGAGAGTACTGAGAAGTCGTAGCGGCTGCATAGTACCTCGGTCATGAGCAGCTTCAGAAAAAGGGATGATCTTTCAGACATTTCGGTCATGAGCCGGTTGAAATCAAGACACGATGTCTGCACATGCCCATGTAAGCCCTACGCGCAAAGCCTCAGCCTTGAGTCCGGCCACATCTTGCGAGACTAGGTCCTGACAAACATGGAACGTCTCATGTGGGTGGTTGTCAAAATTAGGGTCCCCTTTTGGGTCCTTATTATAATACGGCACCTAAGATTTAAGGTACCCAAAAAGGGGCCCTAATTTTGACAACCACCCAAGTGCTGGCAGACCAGGGCCAGGGTGCTTCAAAAAGGGGAGAGTCAGGCTGCAAATGAAGTCAAGTTTGCTGTTAGGGGTTGGAGACGGTTTAGGGTTTAGGGTTTGGGGTTTAGGGTTTTGGGTTTAGGGTTTAGGGGTCTATACCTGGACCCCCAAAAGTATGTAGAATAATCGCCTTTTAGATGGTTTTGGGGCATTATTTTTACCTACTTTTGGGGGTCTGGGTATGGCTCAGGGTTATTCGACTTCAGGCTTCTGGGGGTTTTAAGGGTCTAGGCCAGAGTGTGCTGTGAGCCATGGGCGCATGATCTGATTCTAATCACGGTACGGGTAATCAGAGGACTGTAGGCTTCACAGCCCCACTAAGGTGCGCTTAGGAAGTCCATGCACCCTAAACCCCAAACCCTCAAAATCCCTGAAACCACCAAAACAAGCTTTAAAAAACCCTAAAGCACCATAACATAACCCCAAATTCAAAACCAGGGCGCGTTGAGGAAGTCGATGAATGCGTCAAACAGAGGCAATTGACAAGCTGATCCGAGCTACGGTGAGCCCGGCTGCGGATCAGGTATTGGGTTACCTAAAAGAGTACTACCTATAATACCTATGGGAGGAGTTTGAAGTTCATGTTAGGTATTAGGAGGTTTTGTGCAGCAAGGCTATGCTCCGGGCGTCTGTAGTGTTGAAGGGCACATTGGGTTTAGGCGTGGTTAGTTTCTTTGGGCCTGGGGGTTTTAAAGGCTTTAAGCTTCGTCCTTAAATGTACACTCTAATGACAATCGTTCAATCCTTTTAGTTTTTGTCTGCATTGTAGTTCCTTTTGCTGACTACAGCCCCACGAGAGGGGCTGCAATTGAGACTGTCGGTGGGGTTTAGCACCCCTCCTAAACCTTGGTGAAACTTATGAATTTCTTCACATTAGACCCTCATAGTCTGAACACACTCTCAAGCGGGCGCACTGCTAAGACACTATCCATACCTCAGTATTGCACATCATGGTTCAGGATCGAGATGTGCTACGGGTCAGGAGCAGATGTGCCGCTTCGTCCGAAGATTGTGATTCAAGCTTCGGATTATATGATTGAAAAGGTCCCACCACATGCAACATGGCCAAACCAAGGCGCTCAAACAATAGGGCACGTGCGCCTTGCGAAACGACATGTATCATAATCATATGCGGGGGCAGGGGGCTGGGCCTACGAGTGCATTCTGTCACTCCACCGACTGAGTCTTTAGTACCGAATTGCTAGCTTGCGTGCTGAACTCCAAAACCCCCAAGACACAATCGCAGAATGATGCCGGGAGACGAGATCGACATGCATCTACCGAACTGCATTGGGATTAAGGCTTCAGTGTTCAGGTTTCAAGACGTTAGTCGGTTGAATCTGCACTCCTCTTTGCACCTTCAGCTTCATGCCGGGAATGTGCTTCTCCAGACGCTCCTTCACAATCTTGGCCTGGTGGGAGGGTCTGTTTTGTGTAGCGGTTAGGAAAGGCTCTGGGATTGAGATTTAGGGTTTATTACGGTTTCGGGACAAGGTTTATTATTCAGGTCAGGCAGAAATCTGCTTCAGGCTGCTCCCGCAGGATTTGATCCGAACGAGCCCAATCTGAAAACGCCAAAGACTTGTACACGAATGTAGGAACCTGATTAAGGAACCTTGGGCCTTTATTAGGGTTCCTCATATGAACCCTATTATTTGCTGGTCATAGGCCCAGGGTTTCTTAATCAGGTTCCTACATCAGTCGCCTGAAGCTCCCGAAGCAAACAAAATGAGCTCGAAAAGCAAGGAGACTGCAACGAGGAATTAGAATAGGGTTTTGGGGCCAGTATACTATAATAAATATAATAAAGGAACCCCCCAAAAATAGTATGGTAATTTAGGACGCATCCATGACGGCCAAATGCCTCCGAAGCACAAAGCGTAAAGCAAGCTTGCCTTACACTATGTCACTCTGAGCACCGAGGGCTCAGGATCGGGATTGATCTAGTTTAACCATGTAAGGAACAGGGCCGAACACACAAATCAGCTGTGGACCTTTCAGTTTGAAGGAAGCCAATCCACACACTAAAGCTCAAAAGCCGATAGCCCGAAAGCTCTAAAGAACCGACATGCTGACTTAGATCTTGTTGCGCAACTAGGTTCGCAACTCAATGCCTTGAGCCAGAACCCTCTCAACTCATTGCAACAATGGGTAAAGAGACAAAAACCGTAATTACATCCAAATAGCACCTCACTAACTAGAACCGGGGAGCAATCCAAAAGATTCCCTTGAACGAACCTTTGAAACTTCAAGCAATCCATAACAAAAAGCACCCCTCGAGGCCCAAAACTCTGAAACGCAACACCTTTGATAGAATTCCTGTACCATTCCCAAAGGGTCCAAAGTACCTTTATGGTAGAATGTAGGGTTCCTATATGAGGAATTGCTATTATGATTTGGGGAAGTATTCCCCATAACAGTCTTTGGACCCTTTGGGATTTAAGGAACCCTGAAACCTAAAACTCTGAAACGTAATACCGTCATACCCTGAAGTATAATCCTTACAAAAGGAGCCCTCAGTGACCTCGAGCCCGACCATCCTTTAAGGGATAGCCTCGTCTTTGCGTAGCAGGCCAGTGTCTACCATGAATGGTCGGAAGCGATCTCCTGAAAGAGATAGGGTTCCAGAATTAGAGTAGAGGCCAGAAACTTGGAACATCGTTATTCTCATGCCCTTACTTAAAGGATCATGGGACTTAGTAACTAGACTTGTAATTGAGGTAACTGTCCTTATAATTACTTATAGCCCCAATTAAGGTACTTATAACCCTACTTACTAAGTCCCATGATCCTCCAAGTAAGGTACAGTATAGGGGAGCCTAGCACCAATCCTCCTAAACTCATGTTCAAACTTGTTGGCTTCGACTTTAGGGTTCCGGGTTCAGTAGTTTGGGGCTTCCCCAAAGGCCCCATAGCAGTCCTTTTGGGGATTTACCTCACAGGATTCTAAATATGAACCCCCAAAAGGAACTACTATGGGGCCTCAGGGTTTAGTTCCGGGCTTTCAGGTTCATGAACGACTGAAGGGGGAGGAGTTCTTACTTAGAATGCTCGGGGCTTGGGGCGCTAGGGCGAGGGGTGCTTCATCTTGGGCTTCTTAGGTCTGATTCAGGTACTGAAAGGATCATGGGACTTAGAAGGATCATGGGACCTAGTAACTAGGGTTAACATTAAGGTAACTGCACTTATAATTACTTATGAACCCAATTAAGGTACTTATAACCCAAGTCACTAAGTCCCATGAACATCCAAGTAGTGCTTGGGCTTACGCTAGGGTTTGGGGTTCAGGCTTGGGGTAACAGGGAGCATGGCTCGATTTGGGGCAGAGTCTTGACTAAGTAAAGAACTGCGGGTATACATTGGGGAGTTCAGTGAAGCCTGCAACGTCGGCAACGAGGTTGCTCAACCCAGGACCCTATGAGGCTTGTATGCCTGTAACAAAAAAACGGGTCAAAGGTTTTTGGGTTTGGGGCTGCGGGCTTTGGGCTTAGAGTTGTGCAAGAGGCAATCTGGGTCGTTTGCGCTTACTGCTAAATTAATGCCCGTCTATGCGCTGGACTTGACCCCAAACTTTGAACAATAATCTGCGATAGCTCCACGCACAGAAAAACTTAACACGTGGGAACCCTAAACCGTGAAACCTCAACACATCCCCAGCCCCAGAGAACCAAACCCTTGGTGCCCCACCAATCGCTTTGTGGACCAATGCCTTCAGTTTGGGAGGGCTTCGGGAAGGTGAACGCGAAGAGGCCTTCGATTTCTTCATTTCTGAGCATGCTGTTGCAACAAAGACAGCATCATCAAGAGAGAAAATTACCATCAACAGTACCAGTAGCAGCCGCTAGTAGCAGTATCAGTAGCAGTAGCAGCACGGGTACTAATAATACTGGTACTATAGTTCTATGTAACTATGTCAGTACTAGTACGAGTAGTAGTAGTAGTAGTAGTAGTAGTAGTAGTAGTAGTAGTAGTAGTAGTAGTAGTAGTAGTAGTAGTAGTAGTAGCAGTGGCAGTAGCAGTAGCAGTAGCAGTAGCAGTAGCGGCAGTAGTAGCAGCAGCAGTAGCAGTAGTACAAGCAATAGCAGCAGTAGTCGCAGATGAGGAAATCGGCGTCATCGTTCCGGGTGTACTTTCCCGATGAGTGCACACAAGGACCCTTCTGCATGCTTCCTACTGCCATTGTCAACAGGCTCAAGCCGCTATTTAGCGCCGACCTTGAGCTGAGTCACAAAAGCCGTCGGTGCTAGTGAGCTTGTCTTCAGTACGTGCGATCGCTGCTGCATGATGACATGTGCCTTTCAATAATGTTCTGGTCTTTGCAGCTGCTTACAACGGAAACTATTGTCTTAGTCGTGAAGTGTCTGCACCAGCATCGCAGCAACCTCTGCAGCTGCCACAAAGAGATGTGACGACGACGACGACGATCACGATGATGTCCACTATAGTGACAACCGCGATGAGGATGCTAACAGATGCTCATTCTGCAGCAGCCGCTGCCGCTGCGGTTGATGTAGATGGTGGTGATGATGCCGGTGATGGCGATCGCAAAGAGGATAGTATATACTCATCGTTCGTCATTAGCAAACACAGTCAGGTTGAACGTCCTAGCAGCCCGTGTACCCTCTCAGCCCGGTGCTGCCGCGACGGAAGAGTCGACGCCGCCACTC